AGGCCCTCAGGAAGGGATAAAAGTTTGTGTGTCTAAAGAACAGCAGGGAGGCAATGAACAAAGGGAGAGAGTGGTAGATGGGGAAAGATAAGTACAAAAGCCTTGTTGCCCATGGTAAGGACTTTAGAGTTTCTGTAAGCACGACAAAAAGTCATTAGGAGAATTTTCTCAAGGGAGTGACATGTCCTGAATTATATCTTACAGAATGCACTCTGACTTCTGGGAGATTCTGGGGGCCAAAGGTGGAAGCAGAGAGAGAATTTAGGAAGTTAATGCAGTAATAAAGAGTAGAGCTGATAGTGGCTTGGAGCAGGGAGGTAATAGTCAAGGAGATGAGGAGTGGTTGGATTCTAGATATATTTTGAATGTGGAACTGGCAGTTTTGATGGCTGATTATGTATGAGATAGGAGAAAAAGAAGTCAAACAATGGAATTTCATGCAGCTGATTTCGGGCAATCTGTGGTTTACAGATGAATGGATTATTATTTTCTAGCAGTAAAAGTGATGGTTGGGGGGGTGGGGGATACAGAGAAGAGTAGCAGGAGTCAGTGAAATTCTCCAGACTCCCCAAAGAATCATTTTGGTCAGTAGTTAAAACAGAGAGATATGAGAGAGAGAGAGAGGGACAGAGGAGGAGGAGGAGGAGACGAAGAAGAAGGAGAAGAAGAAGAAGAGAAGAAGAAGGAGGAAGAGGAATAAGAAGAGGAAAAAGAAGAAGGAGGAGAAGAAGGAGGAAGAAGAGGAGGAGAAATAAGAAGGAGAAGAAATAACTTCTGAGAGGAAGAAATGCTACACTAGATCTCAGGCTCTTGTTGATGATCATTGGAGATGGCATTGGAAGCTGCTGAAGCTCATCTGCTAAAGAAAAAGTGTCTTTTGCTGGAAGGAATCAAACATAGGATCAGTCCATTCTGGATTCTGAGAAATGTGGATCTCTTTCATCAGGGAAGCCTAGCAACCACCAGCCTGGCACAGCACATCAGCAATGTCTATGTCACCTATTACAGTGACCATTCCAAATCCAATGCCACTGGAATCCAAAAAGGAACTTGATTTTTTAAACCACTTCCTCTTATTTCCCTCTCAGAGGGAGTCAATCACCCACAGCAAGTGTGGACATTGAACATCCCTTTCCAGGAAAGTTACCTTGTTTAGAGATATGGATGTATTTACAGTGCATCAGGTTGGTTAGGAAACTTTTCTCCATAACAATAGAGCAGTGCGGGCTGTAGCAAGTTGAAAGCTGAAGTCTCTTTCTAGTCAAGTAGTTAATGAATCTACTGTCTATGTCTATATATTACAACATACCATGGCTCCTTCGCTGGCTGCTAACCTTCCTCACCCTGAACTCAGGAGTTATATCAACCATTCATTTACTTACAGCTTCATTGAGATCTAATTCACATACGATAGAGTTCATCATTTTAAGTGTACAGTTCAATAAAGGTTTAGTCTCTTCTGAGTATGTACATTTTTGTTGATGTGTAACATACATATGGAAAAGGGGACAAAGCATAAATGAACAGCTGATGAATTTTCAAAATGAACATATTCATAAAGCCAGCTTTCATCTTGCTGCAGCCCACAGACGTCTCCTCATGTTCCCTTACTGGCATTACTCATTCCCAAGGATAACCAGTATCCTGACTTTTATCAACATAGATTAATTTTGCCTGTTTTAAAACTTTATAAAAATGAAATCCTATAGTATGTAGTCTTTGTGCCCAGCTGCTTTTGTAAATTTTTGCAGTGAAATTCACTCATGCTATTAGGAGTATTTGTAGATGATTTATTCCCCTTGCTGTATCATGTACCATTAAAGAACTATAATTCTCTTTTTTGTCCATATTGCTATTGATGGATAGCTGTATAGTGTACCATTAAGGAACTATAATTCATTTTTTTACCATATTGCTATTGGTGGATATTTAACATTTTCATATATGGATATTTAACATTTTCATGTTTGGAGAACATTTTCTGGGACATATACCTAGAAGTGGGTCATAGTAATGTGTATATGCAGCTTTAGTAGATACTTCCAGTTTTCTGAAGAGGAATATACTACATTACATTCCCATTAGCAAGGTATGAGAGTTCTGGTTGCTTCTTTACCCACACTCAGTGTTGTCATCAAGCTTTCTCAACCTCATCTTCCTGGGCTCTGGCAAGAGGGTCCCTGAGTAAGCTCCAGGTAACTTCTCCTGGTGTTATATTATCTGTATGTATGCACTCTGCTGGAGAGACTCCATGATTTGCAACAAATTTTCAGAGGGGCCCTTGTTCCAGAGAAGGGCAAAAACCACCGCTTCCAGTTTTCAGCTTTCTTATAATCTCTAATTCTGTGGTGAAACAGCATTTTATTTGGGCCAGGATTTCTCCTGGAAAAGCTGATACTGCTGTGTAGCTGTCTCTATTTTTGAAAAGCACATTATTCAAGGCCAGAGCACTCTGGACTTTTGCTAGTGCCGGTGTGCATGTTGAGCAACATGTTGGAGATATCCAAAAATTACATGCCCTAAATAAAGGGTTGATATTTATTGAGATACTTTAGATGCCTGTGCTATTTGATCAAATAAACACTTATGTGTTTACAAATTGAAAGAGTGAGAAAGTTGGCACAGAAAAACAGATTTTAGTCATGGGCATTATTCTGCTTTGGAAACAACCTCTTGGCATGATGGCATGTCCTGTTGGTTAGAAATGTGATACAGCTGGAAACGGCTGATACAAGCAGCAAAGAATTAGGCTCACAAAACCCTGCATCCTTCTGAACACACCCTTATTCTTTGAGGTCAATGTATGGACTAATTTTGGAGACTCTATCTATCTGTCTATCCATTCATTCATCCATCCATTTCCATCCTTACTTTTGTCCATCCAAGCATTCATTCATCCATCCGACCATACCATGCTTGTCAAACACCAATTCAATATATAATATTCTTAAGCATTATGGGACAATACAAATGATTGGTTCCTTTTCTAATATAGCTGGAGCGAGAAGACATACCTACATGGAATACCTAGAGAATACAGTACTATCAAGATAACATGGGCAAGTACAAGTTAAGATGGTAGGGACTTAATATGGAGTGAACTTGATATGCAGAGCACTGATGGGTGGTGAGGTGAAGCTTGGAAGGCTTCTTGAAGAAGTCAGTCTTGAGCTGTGCAAAGAAAGTTGTTTATACTTTGCACTGATGGATATTAGAAGATAAAAAGCCTTTGAGGAAAAGATGCAGTGATGATGCACTGATGAGGATAGCCTGCTGACATCAGGGAAACTGCTTGACCAGAGTACAGAGGCAGCCACCTTCTTCTTGGAAGGCACTTTCTTCTTGGCAGTCACCTTCTTCTGGCAACCTTGAGAACCAGGCATAGGAGCTTGAATTTGTTCCAGTGAGCAAGGGGACAGTCCATTTGGAGAAGAGCTAGGATGAGGCTGCCCCCTTTTGGTTCTTTGTGCAGTCCATTTATGCTTCCGTCTGAAGACACTTGCTAGGGCCTCTGCCTTCCTGGAGCATTCTCCCCTCCAGATATTCACATGATTTCCCCCCTCACCTCTTTCATCTCTTCATTCAACTGTCACCTTCTCCTTGAGGTCTTCCTTAACATCACTTTAATTAAAATTGCAACCAACCTCCAACTGCCAACACTTCCTCTTTGCCTTCCCTACTACTTCGTCTGCATAGCACTTTTTGCCTTCTAATCTACTACATGATTTTCTTATTTATTTTGTGTAGTGTGTATTTTGTTAGGGTTTTTTGTTGTTGTTGTTTAAACCTACTCGAATATAAGCTCCCAGGGGAGCAAAGACTTTTATCTGTTGTACCTCCCGTGCCCAGAACAGTGCCAGGCACACAGGAAGCACTTAAGAAATATTTGTTGAATGAACGAAGGAACTGATGTGACAGCCATTCGAGGATGGACTGGACTAGGCCTTGAGAGGGAACAGGAGGAACAGCCACAAAAATGATCTGGGTGATCACTGAGCCCATCATTAGCTTCTATCCAGTTTGCAAAAAATCTCAAGTGGTCACCTGATCTAAATGCCTTCCAGAGACCATCTTTGGACCAAATGAGAAGTGGTTCATAGAGCAGAGACCTGACAAGAGCTTGAACTCTATTTCTCATGTGCAATTTATTGTATGTCACTTATGCTGCAATAAAGCTGTTTAAGAACAAAGAACTTGAGCTCTACATACATACAACTGAGGTTAAGTTCATTTTCTGCAGTATGCAACTGTGTGACCTTGGACAAGTTACTCAACCCTCTGTGTTGTGAAACTGATATGCAAAATGAAACTATCAGCAGCTTATTCACTGGGTTATTGCGAGGATTAAGTGAGTTAACTTAAACCTATTAGCCCAGTGTCTGAAAAATGGTGTTCAATCATAATTAAAAGGAAAGGCTGGGAAGCTTCATGATCAAGAGCATTGGCCTTTGAATGTCTGAATTTAAATCCTGCTGCCACCTACTAGTTGTGAAATTTTAGGCAAAATATAATATTATTTTATCTCTGTATGCTTCAGTTTCTTCATCTGAAAGGGACAAGATGGTCCCTATCTCATAAGGTCACTGTGAAGACTGAGTCAATATACATGAAATGCACAGAACAGGGCCTGAACAGAGTAAGCACTCAATACTACTTGTTGTCATTATTGCTTCTTCTTATTATTCCTGTAGGGCTTTGCCTGGTTTCTCAGCCACTACCACCCCTGTCTTCACCATTTCTTTCTATGGACAATCCCAGACCTATCGCATGCTATGGTGCTGCTGAAAGATTCCAAAAATGTAACATTGCCATTGTCTGCACCTCGTTCCAGTTTCACCCATGCGATGGTGCAATCAGAAGACAGTGTCAGTGCCAATTCTGGGTGCTTAGAAATTTTAGCAAGCAATTCTATAGGAAAAGAATCTAACTATTTGATCAAAAAAATGGGGAAAATTTTTAATAGACATTTCTCAAAAGAAGACATCCAAATGTAAAATAGGCATATTCAAACCTGCTCAACCTCATTGAATATCAGAGAAATGCAGATCAAAACTACAATAAAATAGCATCTCACCCCAGTAAAAATGGCTCATATCCAAAAGACAGGTAATAACAAAAGCTGGCAAGGATGTAGAGAAAAGGGAGTATTTGCACACTATTGGTGGGAATGTAAAGTAGTACAACCACTATGGAAAACAGTTTGGAAGTTCCTCAGAACACTAAAGATGGAGCTACCATATGATCCAGCAATCCCTCTGCTGGATATGTACCCAAAAGAAAGGAAATCAGCATATCAAAGAAGTATCTGCACTTCCATGTTTGTTGCAGCTCTGTTCACAATAGCCAGCATTTGGAAGTAGCCTAAGTGTCCATCACCAGATGAATGGATAAAGGAAATGTCATAAATATACGCACTGAAGTACTATACAACCATAAAAAGAATGAGATCATGTCATTTGAGATAAGATGGATGAAATTGGAGATCATTATCTTAAGTGAAGTAAACTAAGCACAGAAAGACAAATATCACATGTTCTCACTTATTCGTGGGATCTAAAAATCAAAACAATTGAACTCATGCACATAGAGAGTAGAGGATGCTTATCAGAGGCTGGGAAGAGTAGTGGGATGGTGGTGGGAGGAAGGTAAGGATGGTGAATGGGTACAAAAGAAGAATAGTTAAAGAGTAAATAAGACCTACTGTTTGATAGCACAACAGGGTGACTATAGTTAATAATTTCATTGTACATTTAAAAATAACTAAGAGAGTATAATTGGATTGTTTGTGACACAAAGCATAAATAGTTGAGGGGATAGGTACCTCATTCTCCATGATGTGATTATTATACATTGCATGCCTGTATCATCAAAACATCTCACGTACCCCACAAGTATATACACCAACTATATACCCAGAAAATTTTTAAAAATTAGAAATGTGAACAACGGTTATGAAATAGGCACGTGAACAGAAGAAGACAACCATTTGCCCAAGTACAGTTTGCAGGACTTCCCCTCTCCTCCCTGATGGGAGAGAGTAATTTTTTTCTCTCAGACTGGAAGTAGGGGTCAAAAGAAACTCTTGTTCCTTCAAATTAGTTCATGGCCGAAAAACAACCCTTGTTCATAACTGTAAAACTGATTGAGGGGAGGGTGGCTTACTCTGGCTCCCAATGGTTAGAAAGGCAAGGTTCCAATGAACATCAGAGGAGACATTCTGAGAGAAAAAGATCACTCCCCAGGAACTGAATCTGAGAAGGACCAGGCCACCTGTTTCTACTGATAGGAACTGGGTCCAGCATCAAGAATATTATGGCAAAAGGGCTTCCCAAATGTGACAGAAGGGGTGTGAGGTCTTTGTCTCTAGAACATAGGTCAGGAGGAGAGCAGGACGTGTAGACCATTAATGCACGTGTCATCCAGCCAGCCTGTTTCTAAGAGCCACTTACTCATTAGGTGACAATTATAGAACGTGGAGTTCAAATGTTTTAAATGAACATACAGGCTCCAAACTGAGGCCATGTGAGAATCAGTTTGGTTACTGTTTTTCAGAAAGTCTGCTTTAAAAAGTCAAAAAATAAATCTACATGCCAGGAATTCTGATGCTAGGAATTCATCCAAAGGAGATTTATCAAAAGTGTGGTCATGGATTATGAGTAAGAAGTGATTGTATAAATGATAGTACACTCATAATGATGACAAAACCATTAGCAATATCCATTTAGTGCATGCATCCTGTGTGCCATGTATAATCTCCATTATTCCTACAGTACACCAAAGATAGGTATCATGATTCCAATTATAATGATAAGAGAACTGAAGCTTACAAATGTTGGGCAATTTGCCTGTAGTCATACAGTTATTATTTTGAAGAGCCAGTTCAACTCTGTTGGTCTCTTAAAAGCCATCTTGTAATCCTTCTCATTAGATTCTAGTACAGAGGCTCTAACATTTTTACATTCTTAAAAATTATGGAGAATTCCAAGTAACTTTTATTTTTGTGGCTCCATCTCTCTCTACTTGCCATATTATAAATTGAAATTGAGACTCTTAAAAATATTTATAGACATAAGTTAATTACTTAAAATAACAATTACAACCCTACTATAAGTAAACAAAATATATTTTTATTTAAAAAACTGTTTTCTAAAACAAACAAAATGAGTGAGAGGCATTAATGTACATTTTACATATCTTGTACACATCTGGCTTGATAGAAGACAGTGACCATGGCGGATAATGTGAATCAAATTGAACTTCCAATAGCTTCCACTCATGAGCTATGAGATCCCGATCTAGTTGTTTAAACTTATCTGAGCTTTATTTTCTTTACCTGTAAAAGGAAGAAATAACTTCTGCTGGGCCTACATAACAGGGTTACTGTAATGATCAAAGAAAAATGCTGTACGTAATTAGACTTTGTAACTTAGGTGCATCCTAGGACGAGGACTTATTCTAATGTCTTCTCATGATTTCTTCAGAAGCACAAGTCTCCCTGGACAATGTTCAAAACACTATCAATCCCTGGACTGTTTCTATCACAGCCAAATCTCAGGCCCGAAACTCTTGCTGTGCCTGTGGTTGTGTAATCTTATAAACTTAGACGTTTCCTCCTTACCCTACTTATTCCCTGAAGCTTGGAGATCTGCAATTTTTTATGAGTCTAACAATAGCTCTTTCCTGTGTTTATCAGATGTTTTCCCTAATCTTATAAAAGAACACTTGCTTTTATGAATTTAGCTAAACTGTTGCCTGCTTAGACATAAAACACCAAGTACGTTAAAAGGTAAAGTGCTTTATTCTGCTTCATGATAGTTTTCTTTACATATTATTTGGTTTCCATTTATTCTGTTTTTGGTTTTAGAGTTTTGAGCAAACCTCATTTCTAAGAGCATTCCTAAGTTAGGAGAGCTTTAACACCTGGTCTTTGACACCATTGCATTACTGGAATTAATGCTATTTGGGCAACCCTCAATGTTTTGGGGACCCCATTGAATGAGAATACTTATAATTCAGCTAAGGCGACATTTCAACTGGATTACTCAGCTGGGATCTGTCAAGTAGAGTCTTGGAAGGGGTCCCTTCCTACCTTCATCACAGCACTTCCATATGACATGCACTGTACAAATAACCTATCTCTGGAAAAAGGAAGGAAGGATGGTGGAGGGGTGCCTATCTTATGTGTCTTGGTGGAAGGTTAATATAGAAGGATGTGGCCAGATGCAGTGACTCACATCTGTAATCTGAGCACTTAGGAGGCCATGGTGGGTGGATTACCTGAGGTTGGGAGTTTGAGACCAGCCTGGCCAACATGGTAAAGCCCCGTCTCTACTAAAAATACAAAAATTAGCCAGGCATGGTGGTGTGCACCTGTAATCCCAGCTACTTGGGAGACTGAGGCAGGAGAATCACTTGAACCAGGGAGGCAGAGGTTGCAGTGAGTGGATTGCATCACTGCACTCCACACTGGGCAACAGAGCAAGACTCTGTCTCAAAAA